ACTGTTGTAAACGAATCCCGTTCACCTCTTTCTCGTGTAACGTCCGGCGTACCCCAAGGTAGTGTTCTTGGCCCCTTGCTGTTTTTAATATACATTAACGACCTTCCTGCTAACTTAACATCTGAAATTCGCCTCTTTGCTGACGATTGTGCTCTATACAGACCGATAAATAATAATAATGATCACCTACACTTACAGGCTGACTTACTAATAATAGAAGAATGGTGTCAAACATGGCAAATGACAGTTAATGCAAATAAAACGAAACTAGTGTCTTTCACCAGGTCACAGTCCCCATCACTCTTTTCATATCAACTCAACGACACGATAATTGACCCCTGTACATCTTATAAATACCTCGGCGTTCATTTAACCTGTGATCTATCTTGGGCAACTCACATTAATTTTATTTTATCTAAGGCTAATTCATCATTAGGATATCTTCGGCGCAACCTCAAACTGGCCTCACCTGAAATTAAACAATTATCATACATAACATTTGTTAGATCTCGTCTAGAGTATGCGTCTTCTGTATGGTCCCCATGGCAGCATTACCTAGTTATGAAATTAGAGGCAATTCAAAACCGAGCTTTAAGGTTCATTTTCTCAGACTACTCTCGTTTCACTAGCGTAACAGGCCTAAGAAGCAACGCTAACCTTCACGCACTCTCATTCAGGCGCATTCTTTCTCGACTAGCCCTGTTTCATAAATTATACTATAACAATGCCTCTATTAGAACATCCCTCTTCCTTCCACCCCACAGCATATCTCTCCGCCATGATAACTCCCGCAAAGTTCGCCCGATTTTTAGTTCAACTGTATCATTTTATAATTCTTATCTGCCCATGACAATCAAGGACTGGAATAAATTACCCGATAGCGTAGTAACCGAAACTAACTCTGATAGATTTGCCGAAGAACTGATCAATTACCTGGAACTTACAAACATGTCTATCTGCTAATTTTTTTTCTTCCTTTTTACTGTTTACAGTGCATATACCGTTAAAATATTAATAATATTGTGTAATGTTGATAACTACTTGTATTTGTTGTTCTTTGATTCATCTGTATTGCTGACTTCCTCTCTGTGAGTGTTAATTTATTTTAATCTATGATTATTAGTGTGTTATTGACCCCCCTTGTATAATGCCCTAACGGGCCCTCAAGGAATAATAAATGAATGAATGAATGAATGAATGAATGAAACCTCGGCGCCCCGGCACACCTCGCCAGTGAGTCCTTTGACTTCCCCGCTTGATGCGCGTCTGCTAGTTGTTAGACAAAAACAACGTACCGCTCGAGTTATTTCGTCTGCCCTCTCTTAAAGGCGAAGTCGAGTTCGCTCCGAAAGTCGCAGGAAAGATAAGACAGACGCAGACGACGTTGCGAGCAGACAACGTTGCAAAGGAGCAGACGACGCTCAGATAGGCGGTCGCGATCAGCCAATCACAGCTCGGCGTTCTGACGTTACCGCTACTTCCTTTCTCATGCGCAGAAGACGAAAATGAGCCCACTTGCGAGGCGTATAACACACAGCCAACGGTGTCAACAAGAAACTACATTTAATTGGACATGGACGAGACTAACAGAAAACCAACGAGCACCCACGGTGCTTGAGTCCAGCCAACAACTGCCTGCGCGCCGCCCCTGATCCGCCTTATCAAGGCGGCGCGCGCGATGTGCTCGTGGCCGGCTTGACTCCGCTGCCACGCAGAAAAGTTCGCCCCCTGTGTCTCGTAGTCAGGCAACTGGGCTGGGGAGCCGCCAGGGTGCCCACAAGATGTACACGTGTTAGGCTGAACACGAACAGAAAGCAGTTTTGGTCTGGACAAATCGGAGCATTTAGCTTTCCACGTCGTTCATTAGTTGCGTAACGTCCTATAAACGTTCGCGGCGTAATGCCACGCTATGCATTGCGGGAATCAGTGGGAAACAAAATTGATACGCTCTCCGCTCCTGGCCTACAGGTTCCCAAAACAACGCGCGCGGCAAATCAGAACGCGAATGACGCAGAAACTTGTAGTAAAGCCATGTCGTATTGTAAGCAAAGTAAACCGTGAAAGGAAGCCGAATAAAGCTTCTAGCCAACTAAACCAAATTAAGCGGTTTTTGTTCTAAAATGACGGGTTTACATTAAAAAAAAAAAGTTAATTAAGCTGATGATTATAATACAATTATTGCAAAGATGCAAGCGAGCTGGACAAGAATGACAGTTGTCCCTTTTGTTCCCCTTTTCCAGGGATTATTATTGTCAAGCTGTACCTTAAATTTACAGTAATTCTTTATTCCGCATTGTTATCAGTGATCCTACGGATTCAGCAATCAATCCGCCATGTTTAGAAATACTTGTAGCTGTAAAGGATCACTATTTTTCTAGCTACAGTAATTTAAATCAAGTATATAAAGTGTATTTATTAAAAACATATTCTTTTGCTTTGCAAGCAATAATTAAATAAATAAACAATACTCCCTCTGTGTGCGTACCTGCCCTCTACCTGCTCTACCTCGTTAATACCCTGACAAGTTTTTTTTTATTTTTTTTAAATATCAGTTTGCTTGCTCGGATGGATAAATGGTAATAACTATACCCTTTGTAACGGGCGGCACCTTGCGCCACCTAGCCTAACATTTCATCATCCTTTTTTTTTTAATTTGTATGAATTTTGTTATAACAGACCCCCCACTCTTTTAAATTGAATTATTGCTTATTTTTATCTGTATTTTTTTTTCCTTCCCTAGATCTCTTCCACCAATCTTCCATTCTCCTCTTAGTTACCGCGATTCTTTCCCTACCCATTCGTCCATCCATGTCCGGAAAACCCAGTGCCCCCTCCGAATCCGCATCCCCCCCCCCCCCCCCCGCCCCCCCCCCCCCCCCCCCCCCCCCCCCAAGAGGGTGGGACGACGCCCCGTGGACGTTAAAATTACATGTTCTATAGTTTCCCTTTCGCGGTTGCATACGTCGCACAGAGTGTCTACTCCTTGGAATTTAGCCCTATACGTTTTCGTTCGTAGCACCCTCGTTCTAGCTTCAAAGAACCAAAGAGCTCCCCACTGAATTATCATGCAGCTGTTCCTTCTTTATTTCTTGTTTTTGTGCCCTGTATATTGTTGAAGCTGATTTCCCCTGCATTCTCTCTTCCCACAATTTCGTCTATGTTTACTTTACTCCCTTTTCTACTGATATGCTCTGATCGGCTCCATCTCGTTGAAAGTGTTTAAATCTCAGCTTGCGGGTTCGGTTTGTCCACTTAGTGTTTAGACTTTTCATATATATACTTGTATACTTTGGCTGCCCATCGTGTATCCTCAATTTCAGCTAGTCTTTGTTCAAATTTTACTTTACTGATCGCTTCTCTACTCTCGAAAGATGCCCAACCCATATCCCCCTGTACTCCCTTATTTGTATTCCCATGTGCTCCCAATGCCAACCTACCCACACTACTTTGCTGTATCTCTAAACCTGCAGCAAAGTAGAAATTTGGGCTAGTTGGTTCATGATCAGTATGTACAGCGCCAAAAAACGACAGGACAACGAGGAGAGTAAACAGGACGTGTGAAGGTTCTGGCGAAATATAAAGATAAAATATGCCGAGAAGTGCACGAGGCGTTTGAGATTAGAGCAAAGGGAGATGAATGCGTTAGCGAGCCTTCCCTTGCCCTATCAGGGAAAGAGTTTGATTTTATCAAGAGGTCTTCTGGATTGATGAGATGAATAGGCGTTTTTAAAGGCCTCTATATTATGTGTTCTTTTCCTAAATAAACTTTATTTGCGAGTGCGCCTCGTCCTGTTTACTCTCCTCGTTGTCCTGTCGTTTTTTGGCGCTGTACATACTGATCTCTAAACCTGCCTCGATTTCTGACCTCATACGCAATACCGCATTTCCAAATGACAGTCCTGGCACCATGACTCCCTTCCATACACCCCTAACGACTTCATATTTATTATAGTTCCATAGTGCCCTGTGTTTCATGATAACTGAATCTCCGTTTCCCCTTCTTCATTACAATATCTTCATGGTCTTTTAGATACTGTCTTCCTTCACTTAACCATACTCCCAGATATTTGTACTTTTCTACGTGTTCTATAAATGTGTCCTGTATTTCCAGGGGCTCCCCCTTCTCGTCGTTGAAACCTATTATACCAGACTTGTCCCTACTAAATTTTAGTCCTAAATTGTCCCCTTCCCTGCTGCAAATCCTAATCAGTTCCTGTATTGTCTCACGACTTTCTGATACGAGTATAATGTCGTCTGCATACATTAACCCTGGCAATACTGGCAAAACGCTCGATAATTTTTATTTGAGTGTTGCTTGCCTGACAAATGCTGGGGAACTATTTTTTCTATTTTAAATATTCGACAATCTTTCGGTTTTTTCTTTTTGCAGCTGCGTTTTTGTTTTTTTTAAAGGCCAAAACACATCTATTAAAAATCTTTTCGCACATGTGCATATCGAAACCGGTAGGGTACATGTACGTTCCACGTTCTCCGAGCTGCCATTCTCGCCGCGCACGTGCATGCAGAATTAACATAAAGCACAATGAAATAATGCAGTTTTATTAAAACGACACTTTCCATTTTCTTTTTTTTTTTTTGTTAACTGTAGGAGAGGTGTGAATTCCAGGTACGTATGATCAATATGAAGAAAGCTGACTGGTGAACAAACTATGTTTTTAATAATTTACGTTGATTTTCTAGTCACGTCGTTTAAAGCGTTAGTTAACCTTAACAATTAATTTTTGTCATGTGTACTTAAAAAAAAAAAAAAAAAAAAAATCTGGGGAACCCTAATCCGCCGTTTTTCGAACGCGAATCTTGCACTTCACCAAACTACTGAAGAAAGCCTATGATGACAGTGACAGTGAACATTTTATGGAGAAATGTCCTGAACGTCCTCGTGACAAATTCAGTTGAACTCGCAACGCCGACGAAAGGGCAGACCACGAGCAGACAGCCGCCCGCTCGTGTCGTCTGCTAACCATACCGGAACCGGAAGCGGCTAAGATCGCGCGCATGCGTTATTGTGCAAACATGGCGGACCCGTTGAGCTTGTTGCGACAGTTCAATGTCAACAAAAAAGATATTACGGAGAAGAATGCGCAGATTATTTTCGACGAATACTCCTGGCCGAAGACAGTGAAGACCAACTACCTCGTCTGGGGGTGAGTGCTTCCTCCGATCGCCAAGACGCGAGCTTGGTTCGCAAATGTTGTCGGTCTAGGCCTAGGTCGTGCGGCCGCGTCGGAGGTCCGAACGCGACATTTGTTTATGCAGTCCGTTTTCCACGTGCATTTCCAAAGTCTACCTCGCGTCCGATTTCCATCTGGATATCCCACACGACAAAGTTCCGCAAGGACGCTTCGACAGAAGTGTCGGGTTCAACCGCGCGCTTTGCCGCACGGTGTGAACAGTGGGTAACTTTTTTTTTTTTCTTTTTTTTTAAGCCGCCGACTACCGTTGCGCAGAGGCGGTATTTTATGCGCACGAACTCACCAAACGAAGTACCAAAAGTGTTACGACGTTTTTACAAACGAATCGACCGAGCTCGAGTCTGTTGCTAAAGCTGTGGCGTCGCGTGCGTCGAGAACTTCGTGCGGCGTTCGAACTTGTGGCATTCGTATTCCGCAAGTTTACAGCTGCTCCCGTGCCAAAAATCTTTTCTTCTTTCTCATTATTGTAGGTCCGGTAAAGATGGGACCCCGAGGGAGTACTACACTCTGCAGTGTCTGCTGTTTCTCCTCAAGAATGTCCATCTCTCGCATCCAGTCTACGTCAGACAAGCTGCCGTAAGTTTTGTCAAGCGTTCTGTCTCGTGTCCATCTTCGAGACGCGCTCTCTTTTTTAATTCTGTCGCGTCGTGCGTAAGCCCACAGATCTCAATTCAACTTCAGCACCCTTGTCTCTTGTAATGTCAGCACTCCTAACATCTACACGATAACCTGTCGCCGTTGGTTTGATTGAATGTTTTTTGGGCAGGTAGAATAACGCCAAGTGCGAGTTTCGTTTGATGTAAATTTCATCGTCAAATGTTTAACTTTACCGTTGTCATTGAATGTACCAACGAGGTTTTCAAGGTTTAATGCATAAATATTAGAGGTGTGTGAGTACTAGTGGTTTGAATTGAACTGGTACTGTGTCATTCGTACGACATGTCAGCTTTCTCTACAGTAATGAAACCAGAGGCTCGGAGCTGACAGGCAGTAGCACACCCCTAATGTGTATTTATATTTGACAAGATAGCCACCTCGGTGGCTCTGAGGCGAGAGCGCCGGCCTACGGATACCCATGTGGCGGGTTCGAATCCCGGCTGGGGTGCCCGTAATCTGACGGAGGCTTATTGCGGACGTGCAACGCAGCTTTCGGTTGCACGTCAAAAGATCCCCAGGTGGTCTAAATTAATCCTCAGTCCTCCGCTGGGGCGTGCCAGATGCCTGTCGTTGGTTTGGCACGTGAAACCCCCAAATTTGATATCTGACGAGATTAATAACGCATATTTGTGAATAACTACTCACTATATTTTATGAATTCTAGTCTATGAACTCTACATGACTGGCATAAACACTGACTGGTGACAACGTACACACTGCTTGTCTGGTCAAGACTATTTGGCCCGTTTTTAAACCGACGTTCATTCGCAGGCGGAGAACATACCCGTGGTCAGGCGTCCCGACAGAAAGGTCTGTTTGTTTCGCTCGCCTAATGTTTCTCTCTCAGTGTGCCTTGCTCGTGTTTCTTGGGCATCTCTCTGAGGCCCTCCCTTTTGCGCGGATGCAGGACATTTTGGCCTACCTCAATGGGGAGACTGCAACCTCGGCCAACATCGACAGGAGTGCACCCATGGAGATTCCGACCCAGGGTGAGCGCTGTTGCATGCCTCGCCTAGTACTGGGTCCACATTGGGAAGGAAGACTCGTTCTGACGAGAAAGACATTGTTGCCAGTCTGCCATGGATTGTGCCCGTCCTCTTAAAGAGAGGCCCAAGAACTCGGAATGTGCGCCTCGACCGAGCAACCTTCTCTTTGCCTTCTTTATGTGTTTAAAATGCTTTCGCATTTTGCGTGCCTCGTGCCTGGCAGTTTACGTAAAAAGTCCGCTCTTATCTCTCACACTGTTCTAATCCTGCTTTCCCTAAAAAGAGGTTTTTGCATTCATGGTAAGGCGCTCATTATTTGCTCAAAGTTTTCTCCGCTGCTTCTTGCTTGTCGAACAAAAACACACTCAGTTTTCCTTCGCTGTATGATAGCTTTGTCTTCATAGTGCCAGTTCTTGACTTTAGGCTCTAATCCACATCCACCTTATCCTTAAAACAGAAGCTAATAGAGCTTGCTAGTCTGGCAGCAGTAGTTCATAACTACCTAGTCTTTTTCAGTGTTACACTAGCAGGATAAGCTCCTCTCCCCAAGTTCTTTACTGTTCATAATTGGTGGTTTTCTCCTCTTCAGCACTCGCTCGGTTGAAGTGAAAATTGTGGAGGGCTTCGTGGGATGAGCTGGTCCCGCCACTCTTAACCTGCAACAGACTATGCGGAGAGTGAGTCGTCTGCTTCATGCGCGAGGGTTGTGTTGATGCCAGAATGACGCCGAGTTCTGGTTGGCTTCGATTGGAAGGATAGTGAGTAGACCTCAATGCTAGAAGCGTTGAGGTCCACCCACTATTTTTTCAATCAGCCACATAGAGCTCAATGTTCTGACATTGTCGCAACCCCTGTGCAAGAAGCGGACAAACTTGCGCTCCCCATAGCCATCATACTGTGAGACAGTTAGCAGTATATAGTTATAGTTATATAGACAAAGATAACGCAATATGAGTCTCTCTTTGGCAGTGAGTGAAATGAAGCCTTACAGTCCCACACGGTAGAATTTATGCACGAAGAAAAAAAACAACTAGGAAAGTGCAGCCATTACTGTATTGTAATTGTGCAGACTCTTGACTCATGCCATTCATGTGTTAGTGTTGAAAAGCTACAGTGAGTGAATGCAAGACTCACGGGCCTCATTCTTGCAGTCAAAAGGACAGCTGAGGACCCCCAGACAGACGCGGTCAAGAAGCCACGTCTCGAGGTGAGCGTCACTTTCCGGCCTCGCTGTGACAGGCTGGTTGGTAGGCAGCCGAAAACTTTCACAATATGGTTCGTCATTACTCTTGCAATAGACCACTTTTAAAATTTCTGTGCCAATCATTAGAAGACCTGACCCACTGCACAGTAGCAGAACAGCAACACTGTGGAATGTGCAAGTAGCACGAGCGGGTGGCTTCGGCTTGTGCTCCCACTGACTGGGGGTTCGAGCGGCCAAGGTCCTGTCGGAGGAAATGAGCTCGCACTTGTGTCTGCCATTGTTCAGGGATTCCAGAGCCGCTAACGGAGGGCATACCTTCCGAAGAGATCCAGACGACATCGTTGGGTTAAATCGGAACGGTTTCCTCGTGGTGCGGCGGGCACCCAGTGGACGAGCCGAGCGTATAAAGAGGGGGTCGACGACCTTTGAGCACACTCTTGCCGTAGCTTTCTTTCCGTCGTTTCTATACAGGAAACCCAGATGCAGAGGGCCAAGGAACAGTTTTCCGCTCGTCTGGACGCTCCAAAGGAGGCGCCTGTGGTCACAGAGCAGATCAGGTGAGGTCCTCCGTTTTTTCTACTATGGCAGACGCATATGTTCGAACCTGCCCTTTGAGATGTGTGGGGATGTTTCCACAGTCTCTTAACTTGAAATGAATGCTCGTGCGGGTGGGTAGACGTTCACCGAGTGCTGTCTGGGCAGGTCTCTCTCGGAGGCCATGTCGGTGGAGAAAATTGCGGCCATCAAGGCCAAGCGCCTGGCCAAGAAGCGGGCCACCATCAAGGGCGATGACGACCTTGGCCTGCCAGACATACAGGGCATTCTGGAGTATGACGTGGACGTCACCCGGGACATCCTCAGCCGGGAGCGCCAGTGGCGCACCAGGGCCACCGTGCTGCAAAGCACGGGCAAGGTGGGTGGGTTATACCCTTTAAAGGGTCGTCCGTGCCCCTGGGCCACCGAAAGGGCCTTTCGGGTTGTCTGTACCCTAGGGCTACTGAAAGGTCTTCTGGGCTATCCGTATCCAGGTGCCTCTGAAGAGCTTTCTGGGTTGTCTGTAAAGGCACACTGAAGGGTTTCTCGCGTTGTCTGTACCCAGGACCACTGAAGGATTTTCTGGGTTGTCCATATTCTGAAGGCACACTGAAGGGTTTAACTCTTGCATTGTCTGTGCCCTAGGACCTTTGAAGGGCTTCCTGGGTTGTCCGTATTCTAGAGCCATACTAAGCGTCATCTCAAGTTTTCTATGCACTAGCCTCTGAAGGGTCTTCCGTGTTGTCCATAACCTACAGCCACTGAAGGGCCTCGCAAGTTGTCCATACCCTAGGCCCATTAAAGGGTCTTCCCTGAAAGGTCTACATCGTTTGTATTTTAGAGCCACTGAAGGGCGTCCTGTTTTGTCCACACGTTAAAGAGGGGGGTTCTCAATCTTTTTGATCTCAAGGAACACCTCTCTTGATAGACAGCCGAGGAAGTCCTCCCGGTCTCGTCACTGATGCAATTAAGCGGTCCAGAATCCTATAGACTTGTAAAAAATAATGCACATACTTGGGAGTGTTTGGCACACCTATTAATGCAGTGTTTGGATCTTCTAAAATGGTGCTTAAATATAAAGAAGGCTTTCCTTAGGGTTTAGGGACAGCCAAGGAAGTTTGGGATATCTGGGAACCCCTGAGGGTTTCCTAGGGAACCCCTGGATATGAGAACTCATGCCCTAGAGGCTCACTGGAAGGCCTCTTGGTTTGTCCATACTTTAATGCCACTCAAGGGCCTTTTGACATGTCTGCACCCTAGAGCCACTGTAGAGCCTCCTGGGTTGTCTTTACCTTAGGAACAGACTGGAGTGTGTCTTGAGTTGCCCTCACCCTAGGGCAACTAAAGGGTCTTCCGGGTTGTCCATACCCTGGAACTGCCAAAAGGCTCACTGCGGGTAGGTCTCTGACAACCTCCAAAGAGTCATTTATCTTGTGTGCAAAGTGCCAGTTGGAGTCACCAACGAAAAGAAATGTTTGCTCCAGAGACATGTATTTACTAGAAAAAACAAGCAGCCGAAGCAAAACCAGAGGAGCAGTGGTGAGGAATGCGAACGTTCAAGACACTGACCATGGCACTTTTTACGTTTCGTGGATTTTGGTGTTTTAATTATGGAGACATGTCTCCGAAAGCTTATTGCTTTTCTGGCATTCCAAAACGAGAGTGGTTGGATGTTCGCAGTAGCTGGTCCCCTACAAGCCATGTTTGCGCAAAAACGGTAGAACTTTAAGTTAGAGGTGCACTCCCTTTTGGGCTGGACCTTCGCAAGCACATTGGCGTGCATAAACGTCTTGTCAGAGGCCCTGTAAAAGTGATGCAACTCTGGGCATGTTGTCGTGCAAGGCAAGTGTGGCCAGTTGTTGCCGGTTTTTGTTTACCCGCGAAGTTGCCAATGTATGAATGAGCGCACACGTCGATCAAAGCTTTGTTCTTCATTGGCTTTTCGTGGGGCTACAGCTTCTGCTTGGAACTTTCTTTTGGCGCTGAACGGAGCTGCAACGGCTGGAAACAGCTGTGCGCGCAGCTTTGTAACTTCAGTGAGCCTTAATACCATAGGCACTTGTTCAGAATCAGCATATATTTCTTCTTCACCAGGGAAACATCCTTCTGAATGTAAGTACAAACCCTCCAGTTTCTTCAGGCTTTGGCATATTGGCCGACCGTTGTTACCTTAACGTTACGCACCTCGGTTTAACCAAATTTGCAACATGGCAAAATTGTTTTATAGACCGACATGCTGTTGACAAAGAAGCCCACGTTTGCCCACGCGAGGTGTGGGCACTGTGCGTGCGCAAAAACCGAATTCGCGTAAAGTGAAGCGTCTGCGCATGCGCATGCGCATGCCGTGTGTTGGTCTATCGTCTACTTCTATTTAGTGTAGGAGCGTTGAACAACTACACCGCACTGCGCCACTTTGCTCTCTTCAAAGTTGGCATTGTGTCAGACTGGCCGTCAAAATATTTTGTGGAGTATGTAGCAAAATTATAAACCTAGGTTTCACCAGCATCTTGCACATAGATGGGTTAGAATGTACGTTAGCAGATGCGCATTAATGTACACTAACATGCACCTTTCTATAATTGTGCATTGTTAGTGACAAGGTTTATCTTTACCTGATTCTGTGTGCGAACAAGTAGTGCCCACCCTAGTCGCCGACAAGACGAGGACAGCCGGGCGCCTCCTTAGGCACATCATAGAGCGTAGAAATCTTATGCTAGAGGCGGGACAAGAAGGGCCTCCCCGCTGTTCTAGCGCTGTCGGGGACCATGGCTTCCCCAAAAGATGGCACGGCAGGGAGGACGGACCCCGGTAACAAAAATCGTGGTCGGTTCCCCCACTGTTGCTCTTACTTAAGTGCTTCCTGCAACAATGACCGACGATTGTCTGGGGACGTGCAAAGGTTGTTTAGGCGGGGTTTTGATTGGAAAGGAAAAGGGTTTGGGGGAGCGTCGGCAGTCGTCAGAGTTGCGACTGCGTTTGGGAGCTCAGGATTATTGCATCTACGTGTGAAGTGGCAGGATGTGTGGGATTGGTCGTCGGGCTTCCCTCTGTCTGGAGAAAGTGGTGTACGCGAGTGGCAAGGGGGAAAGCTACTTAACATGTGGTTGGCAAATAAAACTTAGCCGTGTTTGGGACCCTGTGTGTAGTTCCCCCTTTTTACAGTGGAACTGTTAAGGGCTAGTTTCCCCAGGATCGTCTACGTCGGCAAACAAATGATGATACTGAACTCTGGACAGCTACCGCCATCTATGAGTGACGGCGGCAGCCTTTCCACTCTGGCTTGCTGACTTGCAGCCGGCCATTACTTCATTCCCACCATAGCACAGCTTCGCTGGTCTTCCTTCTTCACCAGAGTGGAAAGGCTGAAAGTTTTTTGTTTTTTTTTTCACTTTCCTCGGTCTCAAAGGGGAGGGGGGGGGAGGGTTGAGGATGAATTGTCACCAGCTCGCCTGTTGTTTTAGTATTTTATTGGCGGAGACCCTCCGGTCTCCCGCGCAACCATGGATGCCTTTGACGGATGTCTTGGCTCTGCTTGTCCGTTGCAGAACTTTGCCAAGTCCATCTTCCCCATTCTCCAGTCCATCAAGGTGAGGGAGGAGGGAGGCACCAAGCAGCCCCCGCCAGAGCCTGCCCAAGCGCCCAGGGTGAGTGCAGCCTTCAAGCATCGTTGCACGGCCGTTCGGGAGTTTAGTGGGAGTTTTGTGGACTGTCCTAAAATACCGATCACCTGCCCGCGTTCCAAAATGTACCCAGCCCCTTGTTTTTAAACCTTTTAAGTATAGGCATTGGAGACAAACTCAGGTGTAATTGAGAGTGTTCAACATAGTTAAAATTAACTGTTGGGCTAGTTGGTTAAACATCTTAATTACAAAAGCGCAAAGGACAAGGACAGGACAAAGAATGGACAGGACAAGCGCTTACTAACAACTGATTGTTTAATGCATAATAAGAGAAAGACGAAAATGAGAGGAGATTTGATAAATTAAGACCCCAATTGTTTTCCAACTTAAAATTATTAAAAATTATTTGAGAAAAATTAGGACTGATAGAAAAATAAAATTAAAGAAAAGCATCCAGATTAAGAAAAAAGGTTGAGGTACCCTATCTCTTTCTCAGACAGTGAAATCGATGGTGTGCTAATGCACGTGTCTCCTTTTTCAATTATAGTTTTTGCCTCGAAAATCTCTCTGGCTCTCTTGCTCCGAAAGCGTTTGAGTATTTGCGTTTGATTGAAAAGGGGAGTGCACTTATGGTCTCTGGCATGTATGGCCAAGTGTCCAGACGGTGACGCATGCAGGGAAAGCTCATGCTCTCGTAGTCGCACATTTACGCAGCGCCCAGATTGACCGACGTACACTCTCCCACATGTGCACGGAATTTCGTAAACGATGTTGACGTTGCAGTTGATATATTTATGTGTGTGCTGGACTGAGCAGTGTTCTTGTCTTTCGTTCTGGGAGTTGATTTTTGGACACAGTTTTTTAAGTTTGTCAGGAGCTGATGTTACAACCTGTACGTCATATTTTGACGCTATTCGTTTCAAGTTGTGTGATACTTTGTGTTGGTAGGGTATCACTGCCGGGCGCCGTGTCTTATCTCTTCTTCTTCTTTCATTGTGAGTGGTCAGGCTCTCTGCTACATCGAACATTAAAAAACTGTTATACCCAGATTCCTGTAGTTTTTGAACTTGTGCCTCAAAACTCTGCTTGGCTGTGTGCTCGCATGATTTTTGCAAGGCTGCTATGAAGCAGCTTTTTACAATTCCTCTCTTGATTATTTTAGAATGGGCCGAATCAAATGGTAGAAGTGATTTTTTGGACCGTGGTTTGTATGTCCAGCAAGTATGGTTGTCTTCAAAGGACAGCTGAAGATCTAGGAACTGAAGCTTGCTTTCGTCTGGAAGCTCGTGGGTAAAGCTTAGTCCCTGAGATTGAGTAAGGAACGTGGTGCAGATATTGTTTACAGTTGAGTCATTTTGTTCAGGTCGTTCATGCAGTAGGACCAGATAATCATCAACATATCTGAACACCCGTGATACCAGGTTTGCTGGGAGCTTCTGGGCTATGTTCTTGTCACATTGGGCTAAGAAGATGTTACATAGAACTGGTGCCACGCATGAGCCAATGCATATTCCTTTTTTCTGGATATATGTGCTGTTGTTGACGTTCAACAACAGCACATATATCCAGAAAAAAAAAAAAAGGAATATGCATTGGCTCATGCGTGGCACCAGTTCTATGTAACATCTTCTTAGCCCAATGTGACAAGAACATAGCCCAGAAGCTCCCAGCAAACCTGGTATCACGGGTGTTCAGATATGTTGATGATTATCTGGTCCTACTGCATGAACGACCTGAACAAAATGACTCAACTGTAAACAATATCTGCACCACGTTCCTTACTCAATCTCAGGGACTAAGCTTTACCCACGAGCTTCCAGACGAAAGCAAGCTTCAGTTCCTAGATCTTCAGCTGTCCTTTGAAGACAACCATACTTGCTGGACATACAAACCACGGTCCAAAAAATCACTTCTACCATTTGATTCGGCCCATTCTAAAATAATCAAGAGAGGAATTGTAAAAAGCTGCTTCATAGCAGCCTTGCAAAAATCATGCGAGCACACAGCCAAGCAGAGTTTTGAGGCACAAGTTCAAAAACTACAGGAATCTGGGTATAACAGTTTTTTAATGTTCGATGTAGCAGAGAGCCTGACCACTCACAATGAAAGAAGAAGAAGAGATAAGACACGGCGCCCGGCAGTGATACCCTACCAACACAAAGTATCACACAACTTGAAACGAATAGCGTCAAAATATGACGTACAGGTTGTAACATCAGCTCCTGACAAACTTAAAAAACTGTGTCCAAAAATCAACTCCCAGAACGAAAGACAAGAACACTGCTCAGTCCAGCACACACATAAATATATCAACTGCAACGTCAACATCGTTTACGAAATTCCGTGCACATGTGGGAGAGTGTACGTCGGTCAATCTGGGCGCTGCGTAAATGTGCGACTACGAGAGCATGAGCTTTCCCTGCATGCGTCACCGTCTGGACACTTGGCCATACATGCCAGAGACCATAAGTGCACTCCCCTTTTCAATCAAACGCAAATACTCAAACGCTTTCGGAGCAAGAGAGCCAGAGAGATTTTCGAGGCAAAAACTATAATTGAAAAAGGAGACACGTGCATTAGCACACCATCGATTTCACTGTCTGAGAAAGAGATAGGGTACCTCAACCTTTTTTCTTAATCTGGATGCTTTTCTTTAATTTTATTTTTCTATCAGTCCTAATTTTTCTCAAATAATTTTTAATAATTTTAAGTTGGAAAACAATTGGGGTCTTAATTTATCAAATCTCCTCTCATTTTCGTCTTTCTCTTATTATGCATTAAACAATCAGTTGTTAGTAAGCGCTTGTCCTGTCCATTCTTTGTCCTGTCCTTGTCCTTTGCGCTTTTGTAATTAAGATGTTCAACATAGGTTCATTCGTGTTTTGTTTGATCGTTATTCTCAACCGAATTATTTCTATAGTTATGAGAGGAATTGTGAACTCGTAAAGTTAGGCTCGTTGCACAACAGGAGAACAATTTGTGAACTGACATATTTGTATAAGAATGTAAATGATATAATTGATTCCCCAGAGCTACTTAGTCACGTCTACTTGCACGTTCCTCGTAAGTCTTGTAGACTTTATACTTTGTTTTAGCCTACCGACTTTGACCATGCTGCACCCGTGACACGCCTACAACTGACTTATAACCATTTAGAACAGATTTGTGCGAATGCTAGCCTCGATATTTTTGATGAAAAGCGCAAATTTCGAAAGTGTGTTGAGGCTATTGTTTTTTCCTAACGTTTCGCTTTTATCCTGTTCAACATTCTACTACTCATTGATAAGTGCACCACTAAGGAGGCGTTAAGCTGTTAGTGGGTCACTGAAAATAAGACTAAATAAATAAATAGGCAGTGGACGTATCAATCACCCACCCCAGCCAACTTCCGAGCCCACCGAGCCGAGGCAGGTGCTCTTCTGCGTTGGCTGCCTCTGCAAGAAACCAGTGCGAGGCAGTAAAACCTTATCCGCACTTGTGGATGCAAAGCGGTAAAGCTCGATGCAAGAGTGTTGGCAGAAAGGAAGCTGCAAGCTTGACGAGAGTCAAACTTGCAGCTTGATTCTCGTCAAACATTTCTCAGCATTTCTCGCATTAAAAAAAGAGAGACAGGTTCTGTTTTGTGGGGGTTCGAGAAGTTTTTACGCAAGCCCACTGTTAAAGCCTCCTTTCCCACTTGCTCAGGCAACACCGGTGCGAGCAGCTCCCCAACCGGCTGTGTACAACCGGTACGATCAGGAGCGCTTCCGAGGGAAAGAAGGTGAGCCCTGCGTGTCTTTCCCTGCATTTTGGCCATGACAGAGTTCACGAGTGCACGAAGAACTTAGCTGTTAGATCCGCCCAAATAAAACCTCTTTTTGCCACGCTGTTTCAAGAGAGATGCAGCTACATTTGACTTTAAGGGCAGAGTCGCACACTTGCAACCACCTCCGACACAACCTGTTTTTAAGCCTCTGGCGAGTGCTTACGACAGGCAGTGCAGCAGCCGGGATGGCGGTCGTAAGTGGCTTAAAAGCCGGTTGTGTCGGTCGCAACGAAGCTAGTAAGAACTAGCTTTAATGTCAAAGAACATCTTGTTGCACGCAACCCATTAGTGCAGAAGCTACACCCACAGCCATAGCCAATGTATTTGAGACCGCGTGGTAATAAGTCCAAGCTTTCCAAGCTGCTCTTCTGTTTTGTTTTCTAGAAAAGTGTTAACTTTTTTTTTCCCTTAAACTTAGAAAACGTCTGGGAGACAGGTTTGCCCAGCTTTGCAGTTCTTTGAGGCTGCGGGGAATCAATTACCCCAATTCGACTCACATTTCTTCCCGTCGATTCGCAAAAGTCGAGGTTGCGTGAAGTGGAAAATTTCGTTGTGCCATCGCTGCCGCCAGTACGGGAATTTTCGGGGTTTCCACGGCAGTCACCGAATGGCTCCGACTTTTTAAGAGGGTACACCAAGACTCCTTTTCATCCAATAGTTTTCAGCGGCATCTCTCCTTAAGCCATCTCGTTTTACGGCGAGTTCACTGCGTCACCCGGAGCACTCTCGCCCGTGCAGAGACGGAGGGCTTCAAGATCGACACGATGGGCACATACCACGGCATGAACCTCAAGTCGGTGACGGAGGGCACCCAGCCCAAGCGGCCCGTGGCCCCGGCTCCGGCCCCGGTCCCCGTGCCCGCCGCCCCCTCTTCCACCGCGGCGGCCCCCGCTCCGCGCCCCGTCCCCAAGAGAGGTGAGCGGCTCTTTGTTCGGATTCGTGGTGTTGCCTCAAATCGACGTCGCCATAGTCGCCGACAGAGTGAGGATGGTGGGGCACGTCTTTCGAACAGCCAACCTCTGGCTCGGGCTCCGTGTCTTTCGCTTGAGATGCACGAGACGTCGAAGCGTAGTCGAATGTTGTAAGCTCGCGCAGGAAGCAGGACGACCGAAGCCCCTTCCTGTCGTTCTCGCACTGTCGGCGACCGTAGATCCATTCGTTTGTGGAGCTTCTTATAGCCACCCTACAACGGGGAGTGTTTGAAGTCATGTCCAAATTTTAGCAGCTGCGGTGCATTTTGACCACTTCAGCTGCTAGCCGTAGGATCGGGACGAAGACCACTTAACGTCGACTCGGTGCTTTGGACCGAGGTGGAACGTGCAAAGATTTTCTCGCTGGCGACTCGTTGAATCTGGGCGAATCCATCGTAAAATGCGTAGAACGAGCGGAAACGCTTCTCTTGGCAACTTCTGCGGGCGATGGTTTTGAACCAGTTTCGACACCCACTGCGATGTCGCGGAGTAATGTGTTACAGTAGATTCTCATTAAGTCAAACTCCAGGAAGCCGCAAGTTTTGTTGGAATTGGCAGAAGTTTGATTTGTCAGAAATTCCTCTAAACATGATCCGAGATAAAATTATGATTCACTATATGAATGGCCGGACAGACGAGATATTTGATGATTTCCTCTATATAGGCCTACTGATCATGAGGTGTGCCACAAATGAAACATCTGTGAAATGTATGACGCAAATTTATTCATTCCTGGAACGTGAGCTTAATCGTGGACTGTTATGACAACACATGACAACTCGAAACAAAATTAAGTTTGTTCATCGGACCAAGAAGTTGTTTGAAGTGAACTGCGAAGCGGGGGACACGCGAGTGATGAAAACAGAAACTGCACGGCAGTTTTCGCGGCAACTTGTGCAAACGCCGTAACAGGAACCTACGCTATCCTGCCATGTCACAGATTCCGCGCAGGTTGCTGTAGAAATTTCGCATGGTGCCTGTTTTCATAGCTCGTGTGCCCCGCTTGAGCCCCATTGAGTGCGCCTCTCACCGAGCACCAGTGCACTGTGGAGAAGCAACACCTGTGGAAGCAAGCTCTGCAGGTGTTGCCTCTCTGCAAGGCACCGGTGCTCGGAAAGAAGCACACTGAATGGGACGACGGGAATAAAAATGATAAATTATACGAAAACGGCGTTCCAATTAGGTGGCTTATGAATACGGTAAAAACGCAGTGGGACAAGCAAAATTTTAAAATTTGTTTGAATTAACCAGAAGTATGAAATATCCGAGTTTGAATTATCGTGAGCCTGCTGTATTAACAAAGAGAGCAGTTTTTTTTAAGACATTACGAAGTTAGCCATTACTCGAGATTAAAACGTTTAGGAGTCCCTGGTTTAGCACTTACGTGGTTTTAAAATAAATTTTTGCCTACCTCGTCAGTCAAGTACTACGGTGATGCCAAAGTGGGAATATTTTAGAAGTTACGTCAGCTATCTGGAGCATAGCTTCAATAATAAAAATTATAAAATCCATAAAAAAATTTTTTGATCATGACAGAAGCACTTGAAACGTATTCTTCTAAAAAAATTATAAATAAGGCCCGGTTTGCAATGCTCTCACATGTCTTCCATTTCAGTGTTTTAGAGACATTATAAGTGTGGAATTAACAGCACAAATACGAGAAGGAAGGATAGAGCGTTCTATCCCGTCTCCCTCGTCCATCCTTCCTTCTCATATTTGCACTGTTAATTCCACATAATGATCAACCAACTAGCCCACCAGATGATCATGAGACATTATTAAGCATGATGCCAGAATAAAAAAGTTTGATGAACATTGGGCTGTTGATTGACGAGCGCCCTATTTGCCGAGGCAATCGATGCGCCGTTTGCAAGGAAGGCCCGTGCACCCACTTCCCTGCAGAGCTCACGGATGGCCGATCATCACATTTTCACGTCGACAGAGATGACGCCCTCATGCCAAGATATTGTTTGTGCAGGTCACCTTGTTATTTGCCATGTATCTTGCGTAAAATAGACCGATTGGCACTCTGCGAAAAGGTAGGTGCTCGGGCCTCTTTGACACACGGTGCGTCAATTATTGAGGGAACGTGGTACGGGACAGATGTTGCGGTTGTACTCGTCTGACTCCTAGCAAGCCGACGGTCCATTAATAACCGATACTTTAATGCAAGCAGAGAGGGGAGTGAAGGGCATTTTGAATAAATGCTCGAGGAAGACGAAGGCCGCAGTCAAAGGAGCCACTTGGTACCTCATTCTTCACACTGTTTGCACCAGGTGTGCTTAACCGAGTATAACGACCGACTAGAGGAGAATGGCAGTGAAGCGCTTTGGTCATTCCGTCTCTTGCCCTGAGGCTTCCTGTGTTCATTGATACCTGCGCATCTTGTAAGGTTAGAGCGTGCACGTACGGCCAAAGTGCGGCAAAGAGCAACGACTGCTCGCCGGAAACTGTGCGTCTAAAAGGAACGCTGTTCTCGTCTTGTCAGTGAGCGGACGAGAAGGTTTTGTTTCGCTGTTAATGGAATTGTGCGGCGCCGAAGGGCGGCACAAATGGTGGGGACGCGTTCTTCGAGGCAGCGTTGAGGAAACGCGTCGGTGTCTCTCGTGTTGCAGTGTCCCGGACGCCCATCATCATCATCCCGGCGGCCACCACCTCCCTCATCACCATGTACAACGCGAAGGACATCCTGCAAGACCTCAGGTGGGCAGGGCCGACAAGCGTGGTAGCGGGGGGGCTGTCAATGAAGAAGGTTTCGAGATGCGCGAGCCGCAAGGCGTCGTCATGTGCCGCTTAGCTGAACTTGGAGCGTAGAAGTCGGAAGCGCACGACAAGGAGGGAGAAGCACGTCTCGGGTCTTGACCGGACTTCCGGGAGTCAATGCCTCGCTCGTTCTTTCGCGTCACACGTCGCATCTTTTGTGGCATTGCAAATGCCGCGATGACGTTGCGGAAACGACGGGTATCGACCTTCAAAGAAAAGTCGAATGTTCGTTGCAAGGTTTTAAACCGACGCAGTCCGTCTTTGGATAATGCGTTTTAGCTTTGAGTTCCCACGACAATCATACAGCTTCTGCCGTGTAAGTTTGGTTGAAACTGGGGCCTCTCTCTTTTGGGCTTCCCCCATATACCGGAAGCTGGCTTTGCCCCTTGGCCGTTGTTTTAAAGCGATAGGTTGGTTGCTTGCTTTGATCACACCATGGCAAGGGCAAGGGTGTTGGCAACTGAGCGCACGTGCAGCTGTTGGTCCGACATCGCGATGTGCGCAGCCAGTGACCTGAAGCCGTATTAAGCGAGGGGGGGGGGGGGGGGGGCATCGGTAAGGAAGGGAAAGGGTTAGTGCACCGTGCATCATTAATTCCACCTTTTGCACAGCGGTGGGGTAGGAACTACAGTAGTGCCATCGCACATTCGTTGCGTCTGACGGAATGTCTGAGCCGGGCGAATTTTTCTTGCGCGTCGGTGCACTCTCTCCTTTTGCAGGTTTGTGAGCACGGCCGAGAAGAAGAGCCAGGGCTGCAAGCGGGAGAATGCGGTGCTCATTCAGCGGCGGCGGAACGGAGGCACGACCGTGTCCTACCGAGTCATCGACAACCCCACCAACCTAGCTTCTGAGGACTGGTACGTGCCACGGCCTGCTTCATTTGTCTCCTTACCTGGACGGCTTCTTGAGCCTCGCTTTCGTTTTCTTTTCAGTTTTTATCTGGGGTGGTACGGTACATACTCTGTTTTGGAACAGATAGCACATTGTCATCTCTAGTTTCGACGGTGTTTGAAGAGGCAGTATGTCATGTCGGTCTCTCATGCTGTGAAGGCTATGAATGATGCGGTGCTATTTAATTCAAACCACTTATTGCACACCCATAGTATTAATCTTGAAATGTTGCTCCTGCCATCCTATAGATGCTGTTCATCTCTGAATTATTTATGTGTATTCTTCATTCTTTTTATTTTAGCCTGACCAACATAAGTTGCCCTTCATCTGTGCATTTACAGTAAAGCCCGCTTATATCGAACAGCGCGAGGATCGCAAAATAGTTTGATATAGCAAAAATTCGATATAGAAAGTGGAAAAATAAAAAACCTATGTAAGAGCAATTTAGCTGACATAGTGACGAGCTAACTCTCAGCTCTTACCAGCCTGCACTTCACCATTGATCGGACACTTTCTCGAAAAGAAAACAATCATTTATTGGGGCGAAAAAAGCTGCTTTAGTGTAGCCTGTTTCTTTGAGCTCATCGCGTACCTAGTAATGGCCCGCTCCACGGTATCCAAACAGTTGACAAGCGCAAGACCTCTGCCGTCAATGGCACTGCAGTATTGGCGTAGCAGGGCCACGGCAGCGACGGCTTCGCTCGAGCTCGGAAGAGGTACGGAGTCCTCGGCGTCAGTGGGACTGGGCTGACTGCTTGCGGCAGGCCGCTCCCGAACAACCTCGGCAGCGATCTCGATGTCGGTCAGCTCCTCGGTGGTTCCCGTGACGTCGTCGTCGCCTACAAAATCCTCCATTATCAATGTCTCGGGCTCACCACCGACGAACTGGGAGAATTCGTTCCACGTCTCGTCGAGCTCGCAGAGATCAGGCAGATCCACACCTTCACTGCAACCATCTTGCTCAGCTGATTCCTCGATGTTGGCGACAAAACTACCGTGCCGAAAGCAATTTGTGATGGTCTCCGGCTTCACATTTTCCCAGGCGCGCCCAAGACGTCAATCTTAAGGTCCTGGTTCAGTCGAAGCTTGATGAGCATCCTTTCGATCAGTCGTCGTTTGTAGATGGACTTAAACGTCCAGATTATGCCTTGGTCTAGGGGCTGGAGCCTCGATGTCGTGTTGGGTGGCAGGAACTTCAGCTCGATGTTGCTGAGCGGCACGTCCGTGTGGTGTGCAGTACAGTTATCAACGAGCAGGCACACACTGCGGCCCTCATCCGCAAGCTGAGCATCCTAGTCCGTCAGCTATTTTCCGAACAGGTCTCGAGTCATCCAGGCCTTTTTCCATTCGTACGTCACAGGAGTGTTGGGGCAGTTCTTCATGCACCGCGGTGTTTTAACTTTCCCAATGTCAAAGGGGCGCAGTTTCGTCGAGCCATCCATGTTGGCGGTCAGGAGCACTGTAATGCGGGCCTTGTTTTGTTTGCCGCCATGGCACTTGTTACCGCGGGTGTCGAGAGTCTGCCTGGGCAGCATTTGCCAGAGAAGGCCCATTTCGTCAGCAATAAAAAAAAAACCTCGGCTCGTACTTGGCAAGGATCTGGGGCCACTCTTCTTTGAGCCACTTCCTTATGCTATCGATGTTCGCATCTTCGCTCTTTCCCGAGATGGCTTTCCCGACGATGTCGTAGCGGCCCTTGAAGCGCTGTAGCCATCTGCCACTTGCTGTGAAGTTCTTGACGCCGAGAAGAAATGCAAAGTCCTTGGCCTTGGCTTGCAACATTGGTCCGGACACGGGAATATTGCGCACTCTGACGTCCGTGAATCACTTGTGAAGTGCCTTTTCGACGTCTTCGAAGGCCGGGTTTCGAACACGTTGCGCATCAGAATGCCTGCTTTGTCCCGCTTTCGCCTTGATGTCTGCCTTGTTTTTGAGAAGAGTGCTCAAGGTGCTTCGAGGAATCTTGTACGTCTCGGCGACACTAGACTTCTTTTCTCCCTTCTCTACCAGCCTAATGATTTCCAGTTTCGTTGCGAACGTCAGCGTCACCCGTTTCTTTACGCTGGCAGCGGCAGCCATCACGATCGGGATTCAGGAGAAGACAAGCAAAATTGAAGCGATCCGACCAAGTGCGGTGGCGTGGACTTGGGGATCGGCAACACCGCAGTGCCCTACGTGGCGCTTTCGGCACCAACGGCATGCAGAGTGTAGTGCTGGTCAAGCACTCTACAATCGCAAGTGTCTGCCGCGCCACCGCTGTGTGCGCGGCAAGTTTCCTCGCATGCGGCAGGCTTCCTCGCAATACACCGGCGTATTGCGAGGAAGCCTGCTGCATACCTTAGGAGCGCGCCAAATCCGGCGCGGAAAGTTCGATATATCCATTATGAGCAAGATCGCGTTCATATAAAAAGATTAAAATAGCATGGAATTTTTATCAGAATTCTACAAGGATTCGATAAAGGCAATAATTCGATATGCCCGTGTTCGATATAAGCGGGCTTTACTGTAGTTAGAACTACAGTAGCACTTTTTCGTAGTAAATACGAAAGGAAAGACATAGATATAGTGAAGCAAAGCTAAAGTACACCTGTAATAGTGGCATAGGTGTTAACATACTTAGGCTGCAGATACTAATGTATCCAAGCATTCCTCCCCCCCTCCCCCCCTTGAAAAAAAAAAAAGAAGTTTACTGCCATAGCAAGTTTTTACTGCTAGTATTTAGATGAATGTGGCAGTGTGATCCGCTTGTCAACTTTCTTGCTCGTTTTGGTGTTATTCTTTCCCCACTCATGTCGTCATCTCTGTTTTCATTTCTTTGTGTTGACTTTAGCATTGCGCACTAGTCGGAGGCAGTGTTTTTGCTGATGGGCCTCTGCGACCGTTGCAGGGAGCGAGTGGTGGCCGTGTTTGTGCAAGGCCCTGCGTGGCAGTTCAAGGGCTGGCCCTGGGGAGGAAACCCCATCGAAATATTCTCCAGAAGTGAGTCGCCCCCCGTTTCCTCACTCCACCGCTCGCGGCAGACTTTGAGGACGGCTCGTAAGTGGGGTTTCGCGTTTTCGCTGAATACCGACAGACTTCAAAAAGTAACCCCCGAGCTGTTTTGATCTAAATCGAGGGAAACCCGAAAAACCCCGAATTGGAGCCATCCTCAAATAAGAAAAACTCAAGTTACAGGGGCAGAAACTCCTCATTTGCAGTTGCATATTGCGTTAACCCGGAATAGAACCCTCACTGAACTGTCCGTGAGTCTGAAGTCTTGGTAATCACAGCCGTCATCTCATTTCCTTTTCTTATCGGGTCACGCGCATGTTCCCTGGGTGTTGACATAAGCCCTGACGAACCCTGATTTTTTGTTTGACACCAAAAATCAAAGCTACAAAAAAATAAAATAAAAGTGCTTTCAAATTTGCAGCAAAAAAATGTTTTCAAAGGTTTATTTGTAAGTGGGATTTGTTTCTTCAGGGTTAATTCCCCTCAAAATTCGAGGGTTTTTTAGGGGGGCTTATTTCCCCTGGAATTCAGGGGCGTATTTTGTGGGTTTATTGCCCCTGGAATTTGGGGGTGTATTCTTGGGTTTATTTCTCCTGGAATCAGGGGGTGTATTTTTCTGGGTTTTTTTTCTCTTAAAATTTGGGGGTGTTTTTTCGGATTTCTTTCTCCTGGAATTTCTGGGAGTGTTTTCTCAGAGTTCATTTCCTTTGGAATTCAGGCTTTTTTCTTTTTTTGTGTTGGTTTATTTTTTCTGAAAATCGAGGGGGGGGGGATTATTTCCCTTGGACTTCGGGGGTGATTTTAGGGGTTTATTTCCCTTGGAATTCGGGGTTGTTTTGTCAAGGTTTATTTCCTTTGGAATTGGGGGAGGTTTATTTCCTCTGGAATTCGGGGGTGTTTTTTTTTTTTTTTTTTTGGGGGGTGTGGGGGAGGTATTTTCTCTGAAATTTTGGGTGTTTTTTGGGGGTTTATTTCCCTTTGAATTCGGGAGGGTGTTTTCTGGGTTTATCTCTCTTGGATCGAAAAATAAAACCTCGAATTCCGCTGGAATTCGAGGCTTTATTTTTTTTTAAATTCGGGGTTGTTTTTTGCAAGGGTTTCTTTCCCCTGGAATTTGGGGATGTTTTTTTGTGGGTCTACTTTCCTTGGATTTGGGAGGGCTTTTGCTGGGTTTATTTCCCTTGTCGGAATTCGGGGCTGCTTTTTGGAGTTGTTTTCCTTGGAATTCGAATGTGTTTTTTTCGGGATTTCTTTTTTCCGGCAGGAGCTGTGTTTTTCAACCTAAATACTTGGTGCCAATATAAAAAATTTGTGCTTATTGGGGCTTACATTGAAGAAAACTGAAGACAGACTTGGGATTCTCCGACTTCGAGGGAATGTGTGCGTGATCCGAGCATACTTGAAAAACTTTCCGATTCCGGTAAAAGAAGGAAGAAGGACGATGTGCGCAGTTCTCGAAGAAAGCCTCGCAGACAGTTCAGTGGGGGTTCCGGATCAAAGCAAAACAAACGTGTAGTTAAAAGTTTTTTTCCTCGAGACTTGGGTTTTTCTCGTTCGAGGACAGCTCTGGTTCGGGGTTTTTCCTGATTTAGGTAAAACAGGCTTGGGGTAGTAATTTTGGGGGGGTTATCAGTGTTCTCCGAAAACACAGAACCCAACTTGCAACGTCTGGTCTGCAAGTTATCTAACGGCTTCATAAAAAAAAATATTGGAAGCAACCTTTATCTTCAAAGTCTTATAATGCATGAAATGTGTCATCTAAAAAGCAATTTTTAGATGACACATTTCGAAACAAGCAAATTTGTTTCGAATACATTAAAGGGTTGTTTCAGTGAGTGGAGAAGAACACATTGTTTATTAACTTTTTTCTTGCTGCACTTATTTAAATCTTTCAATTTGATTGATGGATTTCAAGTCCCTATTTCGATGCATTCGGCACAGTTTTTTGACACACTATGCCAGGGGTGGCCAAGCTGCGTCTCGTAAGCCGCATGCGGCTCTTCGCGTGTCGAAGTGCGGCTTGCGGCTCCCTCCCCTACCCCCCCCCCCCTTCCCACTTTCCCGCATCCCTCCCGCTCACATGAGCATTTCCCCAAAAAGAGAAATGGAACATGTTTTAAATCAAAAACAGGTTGCAGTTTGCTAGTGTTGTGCTACTGCTACCTTATATACAGTGGACTGTTTTTGACTTGGATAGATTGAAAGTAGTCCAAGTTTTGTTTATTGCTTTGAACGAAAGTTTGCTTCCCCCCCCCCTCCTCTCCATACGGCTCTTGGAAGTTTCAAGGTTTTGTTTGCGGCTCTTAGGCCGGGCCAGCCTGGCCACCCCTGCACCATGCCATCCAAGATATTACAGGGAAATTCTACTGTGAGTCTTGGTTTTTGCTTTTCCGCAAAAGGTAAATTTTTCGCGTGACTTTAAAGCTCGGAGGTCGTGAGCAATCGAATCAAGCACGGCATCCTCGTCGCAAGCCGACGCTTCTCAAAAACATCGTCCAACTTGCGATTCTGGTGCAAATGCAATCAAATTTTTTGGATGAGAGAGGCAGCAGTGAGTCAGAAGACGACATTCATTCGTTCTATTTTAGTTTCGACTGTGGCAGTGGGTCGAACTAGAGTCGCTGAATGTTCCCTGGGTACCAAAACTTCCTGGCTCGAGGCGCCAAGACGGCGGCTCAATCTTTTTCTTAACTGTGGTTACAATGAGCATTTAGAAAGCATGTTTTCGCATAAGAACAAACGGGAAAAACTCTTTTTCTAGGAACTTTTGTTGGAGATTAGTACAGCGTAACAGGAGCATGATGTCATCATAAACGTTTAGCTTACAAGGTTTTGCAGCACGATTAATATTGTTTTTATACAACCACATCTCACCGGTGATTTCAGATAGCGCGTTCCGACCTTGGTACGTCCTATATTCGCTGGTAATCCGGGGCGCGTTCGCTTGGGAGACGGGGGTTGCCAGCCCTGAAGCACCTTCTACCATACATTTTTCGGCACCAAAATGGCCAATCAAAGCTATGTAAAACTGAACAGTAACAGTGGACATTATCGAATGCGATACTCTGGCAACATACGGTGACTCTAGGTTGAACCAGCCGGGATGATCCTGGGTGCCCATCGGTATGTTTTATTTTGTGTACTGAGCGCATTTATTGCCTCTGTGAGCTTCTGTGGACTTACTGGGCATGTTCCAAATGCATTATTTTTCGTCTGCAGGGTGTCAACTCTATATAGACTTGATTTTATGCCATCGCCAGCAGTACAAAGGGAGTATTCTTCGAAAAGGCGGCGGCCCGGTCCACCAATCGCGGCATGACGCTGCGAAGTAGCACGAAACACTTCGGTCGGTGCTTCAGGGAACGGTACACTTATCACGGGAGCTAACTTTCGTTTCTGCGGAACAGAAAGCTATGCACGAATGTTTTTCAAACTTGCGGGATTTGTTTCAGAAGAATTACGTACAATATGTAAATTTTTAATAGTTTTTTACTCCTTCTAATACTTTGTAAAGCACATTGGATTAAAATATAAACATCCCTGTTACATAGAATTTTACGTTGCATTATTTGTTCTTGCGCATATAATAGATACCTTGTTTGACATCTACATTTTTGATAAGAGAATTCCTTTAGCTATATTTTGGTATGCTTTGGAGCACCTAGGTAGTAGCAAACTTTGCGGCTTAAATTTTTTTTTTTTTTTTAAGGCCTATTAACTTTTTTTTTTTGCAGTAAGAAAGGAGTTCATTGCTGTCACCCTCCAACGACATCACCACTCACCATAAAGGGTGTCGGCAGGCGGTGACTGTAGTACAGTCGTGTCTCTTAAATTAGGCGCTTCATTCTCCCCCCAAAAATTGTCCATAATGTGTCTTCCATAATAATAAGACAGGAATGCATGTATTCATTCAGTTTGTGCCCTAAGGTTTTGTCTGTATAGCAAGGTATTATCAGTATTAGCAATGTCCATGTTAATGAGGCTCAACTGTAGAATGCTCGGGCATACACATTAGCTGGTGCACATTAAAAGTTGTTCCGCTTTTGCAAAGCTCGAGAGGTCCTAGGCGCAACCCCTGTGGGGGGAGGAGGGTAGTAGACATTGTTTGAATTCTGAGGAGGGCTTGTGTACATTGTTTTGCTTATCTTGCCGTGGTAACCTAACGGGTTGTGCTGGCACACCCTGCCACCTTACACTGCAGGAACGGGAGGGGGGGCAATGTTGCACAGACAAATAGATGAACAAATTTCTGGAAGCGGAGGGTTCCGTTAAAATGCATTTTGTACATCTTACACCCCGTACACATAGTAATAATGAAAAGCAGAGTTTAAATTATAAAATACCTAATTAGTAACACACCTCACATAAACTAATGCAATGCACTAATGCATTTATAAAAACTAGGAGAATTGCTAGTTGGCAATGATATGAAGTTTCAGTAAACATCTGAACCACACTTCATTAAGAACAAAAAGTGATTTATGGCTTTCCTTTTCTTTGTTTTGCAGCTGTTGGCTGTTGTCATTGTCTGTTTTCATTCCCGTGTTTTATGTACTTAAATTTCGATAGTTGTATTTTTTTCGCTCGTTACCATGAAGATTAGGATCATTTTGTTTTTGGTTGGAAATTTCGGCAGCAGACATTTTTCCCGCCATTTATGTATTTACGGAAACTGTAAGGGGCCAGTGCGTCGTTGGACTTTTTAGCCTTTTGCACTGACCCTTCTTTCGAACCGTGTCAAGAAAATAATTTTTAAATAAAAAAACTTTTGGCAGAAATACTTAAGACTGCGAAAGCATTTCTACACGCAGCGCATTCCTACAAGCAGCACGTCACGTCTTCCTGCCACACACGGCGCTGCGGCAGTGACATCACGTTCCCCCACTGCACAAGCGCGACGAACCTTGCCGGCTTTACGGCAGGTTCCGTGGCGAAGCATTGCGTTGCTGTGCTTTTTTTTTTTTTTTGTGCTCTATTTTTTGAGCGCGTCCGCTTTGACCTTGAGCGCACCCGCCGTCTTCTGTGACGAGGCATCTGTGTTGCTGTGCTTTTCTTTGTGTTTTATTTCTAATGTGCGTCTGCTTTGACCTCGAACGGCCGCGCCGGCTTCCGTGACAAAGCATCTGATATGGCGCGTCGCAGCCAATTTAGGTGTCGTTTTTCGCGGTTACTGTTTTTTAGGTGCCGTTTTTCGCTTTACAGACGCCGCTGGCTCCACTCCATAGGACAGTTAATGCTTTTGCATTAATTATAAAAAAAGAAACTGGTTACCCATTGGGCTTTCCTAACAACTCGTGCTTGTGCCCTGTGTGCAGTCAAGGCATTCCACCTCAAGTGGGATGAGATCACCCTGGACAGCAACGTGGCCAAGTGGGCTGTGCACGTGATCCAGCTGAGCAAGCAGAAGCGCCACCTGGACAGGGCCAACCTCCTCAACTTCTGGGAAGTGCTGGACAGGTCAGGAGCAACCCTCATCCCCAACTGTGGCCTTCTCTTTTTGCCACAATGAATTTAACCTGAGACTGGGACAGAAGGAGAAAATAATTTCTGAAAGCGGTAGAAAAAAATAGCGTAAACAGACGTCGCCTGTCTCTACTACCGTCAGTAACATTTTCCACCTTCTGCCCCAGTCTTGGGTTAAATTTACTGTGGTAAACTCACAGTCTGCGTGTGCACCGACTTTATTTTCTCTTTTCTTGGTTTTTTCTCTTTTTGCACGACTGGTTCTGGTGTGCGGGTTCCCTTTCGGAAAGCAGTGACAAAGCCCATTGAGTGCTATGCAACTAGGAGCGAACATGCAAGAGCCAGTTACACTTTTGAATGATATGCAAAAATGAAGGGTGGTGCTCAGGTTTTGCATGTCTGTTTGAAGGCATGGTCATGGACAAACACTTAACGAAGCTGCAGGAGCGTGTGAGCTTGCACAAGTGCACATCCTGCCGGCCGTGAGAGTAGCAACCATTTGACCCTGCAGTTCTTGACGGCATTGACTGTCGGTTGGTCTGGCTCCTCTCTCCGCCGGCATAATGCGTGCATGTAGTGCGAGGCTGCGACTTCCTCTAACTTTGGTGGCTTTGCCTATGACTGTTAACCTTTGTTAAGGTTGACATTCATAGCCTTTTAGTGCATCCTCGCAATACCTTAGGTACACAGCACTCTCAGTTGTCACCGGGCTGGCTAAATCGCAATCGGCCATGGTGTCATGGCGGCGCTTGGTATCGTTGAGTCACCGACAACATTCGGGTTCTTCTGAACTCACTTATCTCAGTTGAATAGGTTGGATTTTGCTAACCGAGTTCAAGTTTATTCTCCTAATGGCTCGTGCCAGTAATTCCCGTGTCCGGCAGCTGAATTGTCACGAGTTTGCTTCCGGGAGCTCAAAATGCGAATGCGCTCGACCGGTGGTAAAAGCGAGCTACATCTTTAATCGAGGACCGGATTCACGTTTCACGCAGGGTCGAATTCCAGAGATCCTGGACTCACGACGCCGTGAGGAATGCGTAGCGAGCCTGCAGGCCATGCACGCTCGAAGAAACCTCGCGCGTTAAGGCAAAGAAAAGCATTTGTAAGCGGGGGGACACCACCACCACCACCACCACCTACAGGCACCGTAGAGCCACTTCGCAGCAGCTCGCCGGAGGCATCCGCACCATGCTTCCCGGCAGCCCACATCCATCGTCCTCCGTGCCGCTTCGTCCAGACCGTGCGAGGTGGTTGTACAAAAGATGGACTCTGCCCGTTCCCCAAACTTCGCTGTCGGCGACGCGCCGGAACCCGAATGTCGAGATCGACGGAGTCGACGACATTTCCGCACTTCGCCGTCTTGCACGAGGCGGACACACCCAGAAGATGTAATTCGTTTGTTCCCGTCTTCATTGCCATTTTGCTCCAACCAAGTCTCCCCAGCCGATGTCGGAATCCGTGCCGGCTTGTCACGAACTTTCCGACATGGTCCCACTGTCTGTCGGTGGGAGTATAGTGGGGGGGGGGTAAAACTGTATAATAGTGTGCTGTGTAAGAAAAAAAGAAAAGCAGTTATGAACGCATTTTGCCTACTTGTTGTCTTTTTTTTTCGTGTGTTTTGAAGGAGTGAAGTGGGGCTTGTGTGTGATTTAGCTTTTCCGCCGTGCCATTTGACTGCTACACAGCTAAAATCCTTGGGCAGTTTAATAGCCTCGATTCGACTTGAGTTGCAATGCCACACAAGGATTTTGGGCCCTAGGTTCATGACCAAAGGATTAGGTAAGAAAGAATGCTTATTTGTAGATTTGTTCTTAGTGGATGGCTTTCTTTGTTTTAAGTACTTAGGAGTATAGGACAAAAGTAAAATGTTGCAGAACCTAACAGGTCAAAACTAATGAACTGGCCAATGCTGGGACTTTATAGTAACAAAACAATGCAAGCATACTGGCTGACACTCATTTTGAGAAAGTCAAAGGTTTGTGCTGATTCCTTGGAAACGTGTCTCTTGCAAGTTGAGATGACCCTCCAAACTATGCTAAAATCTTATGCACAATGAGGAAGGAGCAGGCTAACTTCAATCCTCTAAATTCACCATTTTCTTAGTTTCCCTTCTCCGAGAATATTTGGCAGAAAGCAAGAAGTGTGTAGGAGCATGTGTTACAATACCAAGCTAGATCCTGTTGGCTTCTGGCTTCATTTAACTGCATAGATCTAGATTTAGTTCCACAGACTCCGTCTGCCGTAGGCCGTGACAGTGTGTTTTTAGCCTGTGTGTATATATTTGCGTTGCATGTCTTTCAGCCTTTGACTGCGCTCTGACTCAGGTATAGGAAGGCCGTATGCTATCTTGGGTAAAACCAGTCGGCGCTACAGTTGACGCGCAGGTGTAAAAAAGGAAAACTTAAAGATAAAAGGTGTGCGCGTCTCAGGAGGAGGGAGAAGATGTCGCTACCTCTTTTATTCAGGGGCATTCGGTGACTCGCCGCGATCCCTACCCCCCCCCCCCCCCCCCCCCCGTCCCCCCCCTTTCCGTCTACCCCAGCTCTCGTGACCCGCTGCAGTGACCCCCCCCCCAGTGACGCCACTTCTCGGAAGCTTCGCGATATTTTTCATTGTTCGTGGTCTGTTCGGGCAGTAATGTGGCTTCGTTGAGTGCGCTTCTCACCACGCACCGGCGCAGTGCGCATAAGCTACATCAGGGATGGGCAAAATACATGCCAAAATGTATCGAAATACAAATACAAAATACTTCGTCAAAAATGTATGTAGTTACAACTGTAGTTGCATTTCCAAAAAAAAAACAAAAAAACATTTAAGTACAAGATACAAATACAACCCAGTGTATTTGGTCTCCTCCAAATACTTTTCGAAATACATTCCTCATAATTTGCGTCAGCGACTTCAGGGCACCTGCAACGGGTTTCTGTGTTTCTCATTTTAGTTTTGCATCGCACACTCGGGAGTTAGTGTGCGATAGTAACGTAATAGAAATATAAACACAAAAAATGTAATCAGCTTGGACGTAATAGGTTAAAAAAGTACAGAGCTTCAAGCAACTTTTTTTGTCGATTACATTTTGGTATTCGCGACTCCAGCGACCTACAGGGGGCGCCACCACCAAACAAACATGGCGGCTGAGTCCAGGTGGTCCAGGTTAAACCTGGATAAAGTTCACTTTATCCAGGTCGCGTCGGCTCGGCCGGGCGGGCCGCCTGAACAGGTGGCGCGTTCAATTTAACATATTTTCTTCTGTTTAATGCCCAATTTTATAGGTATTTTAACTGAGACGGTTAAGTGTAGCCGGTGCACATAAACTTGCAAAGCATAGTTTTGTTTTCCTGGTGTTTTTTTGTTCTTTTCATATCAAACTTTCGTTTCGGAGATTTCGTTCAAAACCGAAACTATGGGCTCCGGAGAGACGGTAATTTACTAATCAGTTTTGATCATCTAAGGAAAGCGGCGATGACTGCAGAATTGTTCCACCGAGAGTAATTTTCAGCTAACTCGCATGCCTCGACCATGCGACTTATTTTTCCGCGAAATCGAGCTTTTTTGCGTATCCGTGTTCAAGAAACAGCTCCAGTCGTCTGCTCGGTCAACAACACAGGCTGCAGGAAAATTACAAAAATTAAGCAAGCGCTTCTTGAGCCAAAGAGTATGTTAACCCGCTGGCGCCCCACTAAGTAGCTGATACTCGTATTTCAATATAGGTTTTAGTAGCAATCGAGAAGTCATTTTGACGAGCGGGTTATGTATTATATTATGTACTATGGTCCCACTAAAACGATATTAGTATATTCTTCGGGTTGAAATATGAGCTTAGTTCACTACCTATTAGGCGAACTGCTGAACAAAAGTATATTTGACAGACAGAGAGGCTACTTAAACTTAGCTAAATGGTTCTAGCCGGCAGCACGGAGACAAACTGAACAGACCCTTCATTGGAGATTCACGCAGAACCTCTCTGCATTGAATTTTTCGTCGAATCTTGAACGGAGAAAATTAGTATTTTTTGTGGCCGGTCAATCTGAGGAATGCAGACGTATATTGCTGCTGGCTTCGATGGGGGTATAATGTAAATATTGGAGGCGCGATAGATCAAAATGCCGTCACAGCTTCTAACGTTGCGAGACCCGTCCCCCACCTTTTGAAAACAGATAATTTCCCTTATTCATCATTTTCAGCGAGCAGGTTTTCCTGAATCAAGTAATTGCGAAATCAGCCAAACTCTTTCAGTGTGGTCCAGAGGCTTTTTCGGCGAAAAACAGTCAAGATGAATAGCCAACGCACCGACCGGCGTGGGTGGCTCAAACTTGAAGCTAACCGAATACAACCAAACTAAAAAAAAAGCAGCTATCGAACCTTCCCATTCACTTGACTGCAACATTGGTGTTCCCTCCAGTGAAATACCTCGTCTGTCGTCCTCAGTCCACTGTTCTACATCCTTATAAAGAAACCACTCATCAGTTACCAACTAGTCGTCACTTTCAATGTGGTTCGAGACAGGCAAGAAATCAAAACGTTTTTCCGTGATTCCCTCCCATCCAAGAAATCGAAAGCACGCGACCGTGTGCTTCGAACGGGTTTTCAAACACGTGATGGAAGGAAGCAATCTACCGAGGCTTCACCACACTAATGAGCTCTCGGACCAATTAGTCAATATTCATTGTCCGCCACCGCGCCGACAACACGTGTCCGCGAAAGCCACCGGAGACTCGGGAGGGGCGCGGAGCGACCTGGACCGGCGGGTTCCCGGTTTTCCCGCTTGGCGGCGTCCGTTTTGCTGGAGTCGCGAATAGACCAGGGGTGGCCAAACCGCGGCTCGCGAGCCGCATGCGGCTCTTTGGTGGTCCAAGTGCGGCTCGCGGATCCCTCGTAAGGAACCCCCTCCCCCCCCCTTCCCTCCCCGCCCCTTTCCGCTTTTCTTCAGGAAAAAAAGAAGGGATTTCAGGTAGAATAAAGTATGACTCGCGGGTTGGCAACTTTATTTCGTATATTTATTGCGTATAAGTGCACAAGGCTGTACTGTCGTACAACCTTGTGCACTCATACGTACAGTCAGACTCTGAACAAAATTTAAATTTGCCGCCCCCCCCTCCCCCTCTCCCTCCCTCCTCCCCCCTCCCTCCCCCCCCCCCCCCCCCCCCCCCCCCCCCCGCCGCGGCTCTTCAGAAGTTTCGTGGTTTCGTTTGCGGCTCTTAGGCCGGGTCAGCCTGGCCGCCCCTGGTATAGACCAACAAAGAACCGAGACGACCAAGACACGCAGCACTAGCTAGAGACTTTTTATTGTTGCAACTCACACCAGTTACGAAAATCTGGACGACCCCCGCATTTAGAATGTTCCAGGCAAAAATTTGGATGGATATCAGGCTGGAAATCATCAGAAGTTGTTGCACTTATTTAGCCAGTCTTCCTGTGAATGTCAATTTCGTCACTATTCTCGCCCTGGACTAGCACCGAAATCACAAAGTCACTAAACGCTTGTGCCTGATTGAGAGACACTGCATTCGGTGCAGAACATAGTTTTCTTCCTGCTCTGGACAGTGACAATAAATTTGAGGGATGTATTTTTGCCCACAAAATTGTATTTAACTACAATTGCATTTGAAATACCCACATTTTAGTATTTAAATGCAGACGTCAAATACATTACCCAATTTGTAATTAAAAAGAAATGCAAAATACACAAAGTATTTGAAATACGTATTTCGAATACTTGTATTTGAAATACTGCCCATCCCTGAGCTACATCCCCAAAAACATACAGATGATTAGAAAGATGGATGCTAATTCCTGTACCCCTTATAACGTGCGGTAGCTTGCGCTATATAGCCTAGAAACCAAAAGCAGGATTCCTCCTCTCGACCTTCTAAGCCAATTCGCTTCCCCTCTGCATTTTTGTAACTATCACCAGGCAATGTGAGATATGGGATGGGGCGATGTAGGGTCGGGCAAGAAAACTAGAAACATCACCCTTCCCCCTTTTCCCCCCGGCAAGGGAGTCGCCGATTTCCCTCTGGTCAAACCTATTTGGCGTTCCACCAATACCGGACACAGTGAGGGACGGGGTTAAGACCTGGGGCCGGAGCCACGCGGGAGGGAGTCCCAATTTTTCTCTGTCCCAGCCATCCGGAGCTGTGCTAGTTAGTTTTGCTTAATTCAATTTTCCCTGGATAATTTCCAAAAATCTTCTGACCTCCTTTATGTGACTGTAATCCCATTCTCCTCCATTCTCCTATTTTCGCCATTAAAACCCAGCGCCCCCGCCAGATCTGTTACCCCGTCAGTAAGGGCAGGGAGAAGCCCCGCACACGTTAAAACCAAATATGCTAGCTCACTATGGCATACGGCACATAATGTGCAGCAAAGAACTTCCACATAAATAACCACATTCTCCTTGCAATTTTCCTCGCGGTTCCGACTTTGTGTATGTCGCTTCGCCGCAGCACTCTCTCCTGTTAAGGGCAAAAACATCTCTCCGGAGCAAAATGTTTCACAAATGCTCGTCAGATACAAAAAAAAAAAAAAAAAAAAAAAAAAAAAAAAAATAAATAAATAAAAAAAAAATTTAAATGTTTATAGG